AATGCTTAATAAAAATTTCATATCTTCATCAATCTTTAACAAATCCTCTAGTAAGCACATTATGAAATCAGGAGAAAACATCCATGAAGTCAAGCCTTTCTGAACTATTCAATTCAACTATGCTTCTGCAAAACAAGGTTATATATAGACAAAACCCCAACTGGATAAGCATTGCGAACTTCAAGGACATGCCGCGCGTATCTATATCAACTTTTCAATAATGCAATTCTTTTTTTTTTTTTTTTTTTTTTTTTTTTTTTTTTTTTTTTTTTAAAAATAAAGGTAGTAGATGGTAAGGTGATTACAATAAATTTGTAATCTTTATATACACTATATGTCTCCATTTTAAGTTATTTAAACTAACACTTCATGAGGTTTTCGGCTTTTTTACAAAACTCATTGAGGTTTTGGAAATTACAAGAACACCCTTTGAGGTTTTAAATTATTTTCACAAAACTCATTTTCATTGATTTTTCATCCAAAGATTGATGATTTTATACAAAAAAAATTCTCCAAATGACAAAGTTGGCTTTTGATATTAGATTGCATATATTTCATTGAGGTTAATTTTGTCATTTACATAAGTTTTTTTTACATATATAAATGAAATCATTAAACAAAAAAGAATTTGTGAAAACAAAAAGACTTGTGTTTTTCTTCTTCTTTTCTCTTTTTCTTTTGTGACTGGACATTGTGCTCGTCTCTTCCCTCTCCTTTCATGCCTCTTTCCCCTAAGCTTCCTTGCATTTTCCTCACCTTCAATCTTAGCCGTCCAGTAGTTCGTGTAGCCAATAAGATATTATATTTTCACTGTTCTCCCCACATGGGAACTTTTGCTTTTGTTGACTGAAACGTTTTGAGGACCTTGACTATGCGTATTTCGAATTTATTCATCAAATTGCAAGACGGTGATAAAGTCTTGATTGAAATAACACCCAATTATGATTGGATGGATGTGAAGGTGAAGAAAACAGGTGTTAGTTTGGTATGGGACAAATTTATGAACGAAAATATGTTTGATTACCATCTTTGTGTGTATGAACGACGCCCACATCATTCATGTCAAATATGATAATCGCATGACAAATCATCAGACCTTTCAGAATTCCCAAATCTCAAGAAGTTGATATTGAAAGGTTGTAAGCGCTTGTTTAAGGTTCACTCATCCATTGGGGATCTTGGAAGACTTTCTTTGGTAAATCTTGAAGGCTGCCGATGGCTAGAGGATCTCCCACTGAATTTCTATAAATCCAAGTCTATTGAAACTCTTCTACTTAATGGTTGTTCAATTTTTGAAGACTTTGCTGATGGCTTAGGGGACACGGTATCATTAACAATTTTGGAAGCAGATTACACAGCCATCAGACAAATTCCAAGTCTCGCTGGTCTTTCAAAGCTCAAGGTCTTGTGTTTAGATGCATGCAGAAAACTTCGTGCAATCCCAGATTTACCAAAGAATCTGTATGTTCTGAAAGCAAGGAACTGCCCAGAATTGGAAACAATTCCAGATTTTTCAAAAATGTCGAATATGAGAGAATTGTATCTAAGTAATTCGTTCAAACTCACTGAGATTCCAGGCTTGGATAAGTCATTAAACTCCATGACAAGGATTCATACGGAAGGCTGCACCAAACTGACTGCCGATTTTAGGGACAACTCTCTCTCTCTCTCTCTCTCTCTCTCTCTCTCTCTCTCTCTCTCTCTCACACACACACACACACACACACACACACACACACACACACACACACACTCAGACTGCCCATGTATATGCATGCATGTATAAGAATGTATTGCTTCTGGTGTGCAGAGATGGACTTCTTGCGGATTTGGTGGAATTTTTTGAACGGAATTTATGATATTCCTGAGTGGTTCAAATTCGTCAATGATGTGGACAATATCGTCTTCTTTGAAGTTCCTCAAAAAATCATGGGTCGTGATTTAAAAGGGTTGACTTTGTGCTTCGTTTACTCTTCAGAGTATCTAGAACTTGATTATCAAGAGGGTCCTATTGGCATTATCGTTAGAAATCTTACCAAACAAACTGCTTTGCACACCAAGATAGCATTTGCCTCCGTAACATCTTATTGTTACGGATACAGATGGCGGAGACACTTTTCAAAGAAACGTCAAGAATATCTTTGGCAGGGACAATTGTCAAACGATGTGTTATGTTTGCAAGGCGAGGACCAAGTCTCCTTTCTTGTAAGGCCTGATGATGTTGATTTTGTGAGAGTGAAGAAGACACCAGTTCATCTAGAATGGGACAAAGTCATGAAGGAAAATATGGATAATTCGGATCCTCATTTGTATTATTTGGAAACAAATGGGGATTTTTTAGGGGGAGTTGATGAGTCCATTTCAAGAAATTGTTGTCACTGAGACGAATGGTAACCATACTGAGCAAGCCTTGATGGGGGAAGATGAAGCCATGATGAAGCAGAGAGAAATTGCAATCTTGATTTCTGTATTTCTTAATCTTTTAAGCTACAGCATTATTACACTTTATACAGTTGTTTAACTCAAACCTAAATAAAAACGGAGTATAGCTGCCTGACTATACGCTTAGCTGCTTGACTATACGATTTATTTTATAAAATAAAAAAGAAAAAAGACCCGAGTATAGTCGCTCTTAACCATTTTATGAATGATCTTTTCTAGATAAGCAATTATTTTAAGAAAATCTTGTTTGCTTGCTAGTAATCGTAAACTTGAACCATTGATGTTTCTGTTGCAAATAAATAAAAAAGGCTTATTATTACAAAACGTCCCTGATGTTTGCGAAACTATCACATTGTATCCTTAAAGTTTTTTTGTATCACTCTTGGTCCCTAACGTTAATATAGGTGCTCTTAAGTAGTCATTCTATCAAAAAAAACTGTTAAATTCAAGGATATAATCGTCAAATCAATTCAAAATTATAATATATATATATATATTTTATTCCCTTCCATTCTCTCTTTCTTTTCTTTTTCTTCTTTCTCTCGGCCCCGTTCTTTTCTTCTCTTCTTCTCTCTCTCTCTCTCTCTGTTTCTCCTTCTCTCTCTTTCCTCTTTTCTTCTTATTTTCCTTCGCTGTTTCTTTTTCTCTTTTTCTTCCTCTTTCCTTCTTTGGGAAAGCTTCACACTTAAAGCCTCCAATGGCGACTGAAGCACCAGAGCAAGCCCCCCAAGCCGATGGAGTCCAATCTCTTTGAATTTCCGAGGCTTCACCATCCAGCTCTTCAAATCCAACCATCCAGTAAGCTTCTCTCGCTTTTCTTATCATTTTCTTATCGTTTCCAATTTTTTCCGCTGATCTGAACTTACTTCAAACTTGTGGGTGTGATTTGGTGAAGAATGAGTTTGGAGGAGAAGTACCAGATGTTGAGGAGCGTGGCAGAGGAATGTATTCAAGAGGACGAGCTTCGGAATTTGCTGGCTCATAAGTCTGAACCCATCGCCTAAGTCGAATGCATATTGCTCAGGTGTTTTTTCAAATTTTCTTTAACAATCATAAAATTCATAACACATAGTTGATGTTGATACTTTTTGTGGAGAGAAGATACTCAAATTGAGATTCTGCAGTGTGTTATTCTCGTGTATTGATTATTTGGATTGCAACGGACTTTCTTGTGTTTTGAAAGAATAATTGTAGTAAGAAACTTAAGGGCATGTTTTCATTATACAATTGTGGTTGTGCTGTTTTGTAGGGAGTTATGAAGACGATAAATGTGAACAAGATGACCTGCTGGCTGCAGAGTGCAAATATGGCTTGCAGATTGGTTTGCAATGCTAAACAATAAGATGGGGGGTGATTTGAAAAACATTATCATAATTAAACAACTACCAACTTTTCATACCAGAATGAAACACTAACAAGTCGCAAATATAGGTGCAGTGCAGAGGGAGTTTTACTCTGTAATTACTGAAACTACCCTACCCACCAGGGACATACATCTTTTGGCAGTGTAGACGACTGGGCAGAAAGGTTCTTCTTGGTTTGGATGGCCCACAAGGAGGACAAGCTAATTTGCTTCTGTTGGGTTTATGTGGGAAGAAACGAGGGACCTGAGAGAGTGGGAGCATTGTTGCAGAAGCTTCCATGGATAACTGAGAGAGAGAGAGAGAGAAGGAGAAAAAGAAGAAAAAGAAAGGAAAAAAAAAGAGAAACAGAGAGAGAGAAGAAGAGAAGAAAAGAACGGGCCGGAGAGAAAGAAGAAGAAGAAAAGAAAGAGGGAAGGAGGGAAATAAAAAAAATATATTTTATAATTTTGGATTGATTTGACGATTATACCTTTGGATTTAACAGTTTTTACCTATATTAACGTTAGGGACCATGAATGATACAAAAAACCTTTAAGGATGCAATGCGATAGTTTCGCAAAGACGTTTTGTGATAATAAGCCAATAAAAAATGAAGTTTTCAGCTATTAAGGGCAAAACTGGAAAAACACTCTTATCTTGAACGTCTCCAACTCTCCCCACACTCAAACTCGGGTTCACCAAAATGTTCCTCCTCCACCGGCAGCGCGTCGCCGCCCTCCAGCTCCAAATCCGACGCTATGCCCAATCCGCCACAGCCGCTCTGCTCCCCCCGGACCCGGAACTCGAACCGGACTTCCCGAGACCCGACCCGAAATACGCCGAGACAATCTTCGCCGTTCCACGCGCCGTTTCCGGTAAGAGCATCTCCGCCAAAGAGCGCAAGGCCGGCCGCGTCCCCAGCATTGTCTTCGAGCAAGAGGACGGCCAGCATGGCGGCAACAAGCGCCTCATCTCTGTACGGACCAACCAAATCCGAAAACTTGTCGGTCATCTCGGCCGCTCCTTCTTCCTCTCCAGACTCTTCGACCTCGAGGTTCGCTCCGATTTCGACTCTGAAAACGACGACGTCGTTGAGAGGGTCCGCGTTTTGCCTCGCATGGTATGTATGGTCTGCTCAACTTCACTTCAAGTGATTTGATTTTTGTTTTGGGTTTTAGGGTTTATTTGATGTTGGGGTTTTGTTTTGTTTGTTAGATTCATTTGCACTCGGCCACGGACGCACCGCTTAATGTGACCTTCATAAGGGCTCCTTCTCATGCTTTGTTGAAAGTCGATATTCCTCTTGTATTTCGAGGAGATGATGTCTCTCCTGGATTGAAGAAAGGTAAAACAAATCAATCCCCTTTCCTTTTGTCTCTTCTATCTATCAGATTTCATTTCCTTGTTCCAATTTTCCTTTTGCAATTTCTGTTTCTATTTTCTTCTTGTGTATGAGATTTCGTTTCGGTCATCTTCATCTTTGCAGCACTTTTAGATATTATTATAACTGTCCTTTGTGTATATAAACTGTTGTTGCTAGCAAAGTAGGATAATTGGTCAACATTTGTTCATGGTTTTGTTTTTCTATAGTCGTATATAGAACAACAAAAACAGAGGTGCTTGTGCGCTTTGATCACAACTTAGCGTCAGAATAGCCATCTGAAATTTTAAATTGTTCTAGAACTTTTGTAGGAAATCATTGTTTCTAACATTTGATTATAAAACGATTGGCAGTTTCTGTTTCAAAGTGGAATTCATGACATGGGTGATTGAGAATATGAAACTTTCTTATGAAGTATGTTATTAATTTGAACTCATTAGCAACTGAGGTTGAGAATTCCAGCTATTATCAGGAAATCAAACAAGGTTTTGTTGATTGTGAAGAGTTTCTATTGTTTGGGAAACAAGTCAAATTTCTAATCAAACTTTAGGGGCTGGGGGTCTCATTAGCGATTGGAAAAATGTCTGGGTCATAGGTTTCTATGCTAATCTGGGGTCAGGATATTTACAAACCGAAATATGTGCCTTGCTCCATATCATGGTTGGGAAACTCAAATTGCTCATATCATGGTTGAGGTGGATTCTGCCATTGTTGCCTCCCTTTATGGGGTCTGGCTGATGAGTGCAGAGAGTTGATCCATAGGCACTTGCACTGTTTTGCTGCTCATATTCACAGAGAAAGAAATGTTGCTGCTGATGCGGTAACCAAAATGGGGATAGGTAGGGACGTAGGGCTGGCAAGGCTTAGCCTTAACTGATTGTTCTTTAGTTTCCTGGTTCCTAGCTTTGCCTCCGGGAAACAGTTTATAGAGACTTCATTTGATCACGGCTTACTTTTCATATCCTTATATATATTATATGCTGTAAACTCCGTTCCATAGATTTGGTTGATATTAGCGTCTTGTGCAGGGAAGTTACTTCATAGTCTTTGTTTCAAATCATTACTCATAATCTCGTGAGTCGTGTTGGTTACTATGGATTAGTTCACTTTTTTGTTAGAATAATTTTAATGATCTGATTCATTTAAGTGTGACCTTTAACAACTTGGCAGGTGCTTATTTAAATACAATCAAGAGGACTGTAAAGTTCCTTTGCCCTGCAGATGTGATTCCTCCTTATATTGATGTGGATCTGAGTGAGTTGGATGTCGGCCAAAAGATATTAATGGGAGATCTCAAGGTTCATCCGGCTCTAAAGCTTCTTCAGTCAAAAGATGAGCCTGTTTGTAAGATCATGGGAGCCAGAGTTTCTGAACAAAAGAAATCTAAATAACTGCTATGGTTGGATGTGGCTGCCCATTGTCATGAAAATGTGCTGGCACCATTACCCCTTCTCAGCTAACATGTTTATGTGTTCGACCACACATCTTTTGATTTGTAATGGCTGTGAAGGACAGGGCAATGAAATGTCATTGTGAGTTTTCACCCTCTGCTTTTTCATTTTTTATCTTTTGATGAGGGAGCGCTGGCAGTCGAGGATGCCATTAAAGGGAGGAAGAAATTAGGTCTGCTTCGTGTATCTTGTGAATCTGATCCGGAATTCTATGCTAATAAGCATTTTTGTTCATAGATGTTCTCAATGGACGCACTTGAATGGATGTCCCTTGCTCAGTTTCTGTGTTTTCAAATTGAAAAAAATATTACTCATGTGCCAATCACATGACATTTTAACTGAAAATTGGATAAATTTGAAAAACTGGATGGTTGCGGCGAAATTGGCTATTTATGAAGAGTTTAACTTGGCGACACTCAACCCTAAAATAAATGGTAGTGTTGCCCGGCATTGTATACTTATTTTTAAAAATATTTACTCTAAATTAACCTAATGTATATTCGAACTTGGGCGTAAGTGCGGCAGGCTCACTATCTTGGTCAACTAGTGATGACTTGGGTGTAAGTGGGGCGAGTACAATACCTTTGTCAAGTGGTGATGACAACCCTAGGTCAAATTTGCTCGGCACAAATTTTAGTTTTAACATATGACAGGAATAAAGTGTTAAAAGATAAAGAAGGATGAAAAGTGCTGAACTTTTTAGAAGCAAGCTTTTTATGAGGAAAGCATCCAAAGCTCCTTCAAATTTGATTTAATACGTACACATAAAGCTAATTTGGTGTCTTCCTCAAAACAAAACAAAAACAAAAAAAGTTAATTGGGTGTCAAGTTCAACTGAGGTATGGATCAAGATGAGAATGTAATTATTACCCTTTAATTCAATACAAAATTAAGATTTCTCACTAACTAAACACGAAATTAAAGTTGAAGGAGTTTTAAGGACTAAAAAGAGACACTAGTTTCAGAATTTCACTAATGCCTTTGATTTTTTTTTTAAATTCAAATGCACCGTGTGTTGTAGAAATAAAAGTAATTCAAATGCACCATGGTAGTTTCAAGTGTGTCCCTGCTTATATGATTCTATTTTTCTTTTTGTTTACCCGTACATCACGTGTTGTAGAAATAAAAGTAAAAGTAAAGAATGTATTTTTTATATGTCAAAGTCAAAAGTAGCAGCCTCTTGTCCTTAAATATAGTGACCCACAATTAAGCTCTGTTAATTCTCTCTCTCAGATACCATAAACCTTATCATCTCTTTCTCTCAACCATGGCATCTCAGCCATGGATGTGCATAGGCTTTTTAACTTCCATGCTTGTTCTCATGGGTGCAGTGGAGGCCCTTCCCATGGCTAATAAAATTGTGAGTTTGCCTGGGCAGCCACGTGTCAGCTTCCAACAATTTGCAGGCTACATTGATGTAGACGACCACCCACAGAGATCTCTGTTTTACTATTTTGTTGAAGCAGAGTCTCGCCCTGCTTCGAAACCGCTTGTTGTCTGGTTCAATGGAGGTGATTTTAATCTCTTTTTTAATGTATGCAGCTAAAATAAAGATACAAACCCCATTGTTCTTGTGGGTTTTGAGTGTGTTTCTAACTTGATCATCTTCCTCCTTTGTAGGGCCTGGTTGTTCGTCGGTTGGAGAGGGCGCTTTCGTTGAACACGGTCCTTTTAAACCAAGTGGAGGGGCTACTCTAATAAAGAATCCATACAGTTGGAACACAGGTACCCTTCAATAAAAATTATAAAAATTCTAGTTCAACACACATCTTAGTTGCTCATTGTTGATTTCTTGAGTTTGTCTTTGTTTCACAGAAGCAAACATGTTGTACCTAGAGTCACCAGCCGGTGTTGGTTTCTCATTTGCTGCTGATAAGTCATTTTACGAAAATGTGAATGACAACATAACAGGTTCGATTTTGTCCCCATTTTCTTATTATCAAAACTAATGTGTGAAAGAATTTCACTTAGTTTCTTCTTCTGCTTCTTCTTTAGATCTGCTAACTCTCTAAGTGACGGTGAGTTTGTTCTGTTTGTTCAGCACGAGACAGTTTAACATTTCTTCAGCGCTGGTTTGACAAATTTCCAGAATACAACCACAGAGATTTGTTTCTTGTAGGAGAAAGCTATGCAGGTTTGTTTTGATTTAATGAAAGAACATAGATAGATGTACTAAATACTTTTAGCCATCTTTTTAAGACTTTGAAAATTTTAAAAACTAAGAGCTGATTAGTTGACAGGATTTGTTTCGGGGACGGAGTGAGAAAGAAGATTTGTTAAGACTTAAGAGCTGATTAGTTGTCTGTTTTTGTTTCTTATAAATAGGTCACTATGTGCCACAACTTGCACAGCTAATAATTCAGTCTGGTGTGAATTTCAACCTCAAGGGGATAGCTGTGAGTAAGAACATGAAAAATATGACATTTAAATACATCCGTTTAGGGTTTGATTTGTTAATGAGCTCTCATGATGATGATATAACAGATAGGGAACCCTCTGCTGGAATTCAGTACTGATGTCAATGCGGAGGATTTGTTTTACTGGTCTCATGGGCTGATTTCTGATGCTGCTTTTGGACTTCTCACTTCAGTCTGCAACAGTTCTCGGTTATTGAGGGAGACCATAGCAGGCTCTCCCTCTGATGCTTGTTCTGATGTAGCCACTCAAGTTTCACAAGAACTTAGCAACTATGTCGACAAATACTACGTTACCGGCGACATTTGTTTGTCGCCCCCCTTTCCAACAAAATTGGAACTTCTGAACCCGTTAAGGTCAAACTTTCGAACTTCAGCATTTCATCGTTCAAGTGCAGAAGCCGGCATTTATAATCAGGTAAACAGAAGCGGTCAAGCGCTAACCAGTTAGTATATATTGTATATGTCTGTGCAACTCTGCACGAAAAATGTAGCTTCATTTTTAAACTCTCCCTTTTTCTTGTTTAAAGATACCACTAGCTAATTTGCATCTCGCTTGCAGCAACTTACAGACAAGATAGATGCCTGTGTAGAGGAAGAAACAGTGACTTATTTAAACAGAAAAGATGTACAAAAGGCCCTTCATGCTAAGCTTGTAGGAGTCTCTAGTTGGAGTTTGTGCAGCCAGTAAAATTTAAACCCTTTGTTATTTTTCTTTTAGAAAAGTAAATCTTGATGACCTAAGTGTTTTTTTATTAACTTCTCCTTGAGATTGGGAATAATCTTGGGTGGGGGTATTTTTGTTTGACTATCTTAAGCTTAATTACTTTACTGCAGGGTTCTGCAATATGATATGCGAGATATGGAAATTTCGACCATTCATATTGTCGGCTCACTTGTCAAATCTGGCGTTCGTGTAATGGTTTATAGGTAATTTGATGAGTTGTTCGAAGCTCGAAATAATACTTGAAACACCAACTCTTTTTCCGACTTTCTCATATGATGCGGGCTAAGTTTTGTGAGATTACGAAACCATATAGAGCCGATTCTATATTTGAGAGAGTTGAGAAAAGAGTTGGTGCGTGCAGTATTACAAATTTGTGTTGTGGTACTAATGATTTAATTGAATTGTTGCAGTGGAGATCAAGATTCAGTGGTTCCATTTTTTGGAAGTCGAAGTTTGATTAATGGATTGGCGACGCAGCTGGGTCTCAAGTCAACTGTGCCTTACAGAGCTTGGTTTGAGGGAAAACAGGTCACCATGCTTCACATTCATATAACATAATAATATATACCACATTAATTAACACCCAAATAACGTAATTCACACGCACTACGAGCCTGCCTGCCTGCTTACTCACGTATACTAACTAAACCATAAATTAACAGAAAGGAAAAAGATAATCTTGAATTTGCAGACATGTGTTCATTGAGTTTCTATTTTTTATTTTCAACCAAGACTCTCCTCTAACTTGTGGTCAAAACCCAATTAAATTAATTGAGAAAAAATTATTTATAATTTGGGGCGCACATAGCTTCACCGATAGAGTACTTATCATACATAAACTCTCTCTGTTTTTTTCCCCTCTCAACTTTTTAGGTCACAAGCATACGTTTTTGTTGTTGTCATAGTTAGAAAGAGGAAGGGAGGGTTTTGTCACACACTGCCAAGATGCTATAGAGGTTCGAACTTGAGACTATTGGTTTGCAAGTCAATGTCCGCGCCTTTTACTCTAGGCTAGATCCGGTTAGGCAGGTCAAAAGTATATACTTGAAACTGTGTGTTTATATTTGAACTGTTTTTTTTTCTTTTTCTTCGCAGGTTGGTGGGTGGACACAAGTTTATGGTGATATCCTATCATTCGCCATCATAAGAGGAGCTTCACACACAGCTCCATCTACACAACCAAAGAGATCACTTGCGCTGTTTAAGTCATTTCTAGGAGGCAAGACACTGCCAGCCCATGCATGATCAGCTCTCCATGGACCTGTCATTTATCAGCAAATTAATACACCCTCCGGATCCTCTCCCATAAAACACTATTGATCAAGAGTTAGGAATTCCATGACCTCTAATTTGCAATTCTTGTAAACTGAATGATGTCCCTAGTGTATTCTTCAACATTTTTAACATCATTTGAGGTTTGCCTTTAACAGAAAATTGCAGCTAGCAGCGGCGGCATTTGCAAATTGCATCAATAATGAACCCTTTAAATATGAACCACTTGCTGTTATCACATCGTGAAAATAAATATGGTTTTATTTATTGATGATGCGAACAATGAGAAATTTGTCCTAAATATTTGCATGATACCTAAAGATTTGTCTTTATTTTTTATTTTTTCCCAGGAAAGGCAGAGATGGGTGGGTGAAAAACCACTCATACTGCCGCGATTGGGTTCAGTTTTTACAATAGAAAAATGAAAAATGGACCGAACCGAGCAAAATGCAATTAGTTTGGTTCTACTCGTCTATTTGCAATTAGTTTGGTTCTACTCAGTTTCATGTTGATGTTTAAATGTGTAT